ATATTTCCCCTGACAAGATTTTCCAAAACGGGCGCTTTAAGTGCAGGTGGAATAATGCTGCGTTCACTGCTAATGGCTGTCCGAGAGGTCATAACTACTCCATTTGAAGGAGGCTGCTTCTCCACTGCAGCCCCGGCCGCTCAAATCAAATGAAACTGTGTGGTGAACAGCCGAGCCGTGCGCCACGTCGGCTCTAATGACAACATCCAGCTTTAGYGTTCAGTTCTCCTGCTGGGAGGAACGTGGCTTTGCAAGGACAAAGGCTTCACCTGTCAATATATCACACCGACTGTCCAACCAAACATAGATCTGATCTCCCTCTGCTCCTTGTCACCATTTATCACATCACTGCTGTTTGTACCGTTAGCAAAATATTTTCATGAATCACTGAATTGAATTTAATAAAACTTTCAGAAAGTAATCATTGGATATACAGTATATCTACAACTTAATAAGTCATGGAATCAATCTAAGTAAAGATGGCCACCACAGCTAAGTGATCTTAGCAAACACATAAGTGTTACAGCTCAGTTTGATTTACACTTATTGAACAAAAATAGGATACGATCTGAGCTGACACCAATCCCCATATATTATATATATTCTGAGTACAAATTGATCATTTGACTCCCATGTTTGAAACTTTGCTCTAAATATTTGATTCAATTCTGCAAGATATGTCATGAATCGCTGAGTGGATTTTTATAAGTGATGTTCTATACCACTGATCCTTTCCAATTCCTACACTGAGTAAAACTCAGACTGGTATTGGCGATACTGTTTCAATAATGATTCTTTGTACAAATACACCTAATGTATCTGGTCAATCTAAAAAAAAGTAGTGTATTTCAAATCATAGCTTCATAAAGAATGCAAGACACCAGATTAACTTTGTTTGATCATAAAGATCATAAAGAAGTATGTTGATGTAGCGTCCTCATTTAGCTAAGCTTATACAAYAGAAAAACCAAACAGAGCACWATCATACAAAATATGTGAAATGGTGTTTTAAACACTAAAAAGATGAAAACCCATTGAAATAARTTGTTGCATCTTAAACAGGCAATATTATTTAAAATCAACGTTTTTGAGTTTTATATCATGTTATAATGTTATTCTCTCATTAAAAACATGCCCAGAGTCTTGCTTTGACTCATTCATGCATGTTTGAGAAATCCTGTAGTCCTGAGGCAATAGGCATGGGAGCAAAAATGACCGGTTGGACCTAGAACCGCCTTTTGGGATCAGCTCCTCCTCTGGGCTGTGTCTCTAAGCTGAGCTTCCTCATCACAGAACACACACACACACACCCAGCCCCGTGCTGAAATGAGTGGGACAGAAGTGGAAGGAGGTTCTTAAAAAGACATAGGCCAATTTCAAGGTGTTTAGAAACAGGTATGATAAGAAGTCAAGTTTATTTTCTATTTAAACTTAAAAGCAACATTTTAATAACAACTGAAGGTGACATAGTTACTTTATTATGGTATGGAATTTAAATATATGCCTGAGAAACACATAATATAGCCCCTTTAAGTTATAATTGAGTAAAAACCTACAACTGACTACCTTTTGGACTTAACCCAAATCAAAATGGTGGCCACAGTCAATTGAACTTAGGAAACATAAAAACAATTGTACCTCTGTGTATTTTACAGAGCTTGAGCAAATATTTTGTGGGCTGACAGCTGAGCGTCGTCCCAAACATTTAGTTTGAGCAGAACCCATGTTGCAATATTGGGCCTAAAACCTTGGCTTTAACTGTAGTCAACCCAATGTGTTTGTTAGCAAAATATCTCACCAACCACTGCATGTAATTACTGGATCTATAGCTGCAATTTATAGACTTCTGGTGTCATCTGGCATGAGAAGTGGTGGAATCCTTYAAGGAACGCTAGGCCTTTAATTCACTTTGTGCTCAACCACTCTGTCGTCCTCCTCTCTGTGCTTCACCTATCTGTCCATCCATCTCCAGTCTTCAACCAACCCATCTCTCATTCCTGGTGTTCTTTTCACTGTCTTCCCTGATCGCTCTCTTTCTCCGTCTTCCCTTCCTCTCCTCCAGCTCGCGCTGCGTCCATGTGAGTACTCAGCAATAAATGTCCTGAGGGACCCCATTTCAAACACAGGAACCAGAAACATATGGCACATTTTCAACTCCCAAGGTCAATTACAGCTATTTATCCAGAGATTGCAGCTAAATTTCCCAAGGTTTCCTMTAGATTTACACCAGATTGCAGCGTGTGTCTGTCACATTTTGTAAATCAGGCCACTTTCCTCCCGCTTCCCTCCACTTCCTCGCGACTCCTCATCAAACATTTCAAAAGGCTTTCGAGTGGGTTTTAGATGTGTTTTATTTCCAGTTATCATGTGCCCCATCTTCTTTGTGTTTTTGCCTTAGCTTTTGGTCGAAGCGAGTGCCGCTCCCTATACATATGTTTTACATTCATAGTTTGTCAAGTCAATTCTTGGGCCCCTGTTTTAGTAGCACAACACATGAGGAGTGAGAAAATTAACTGGATAGGTGATTCATCATTGCTACCACACTGTCAAGGACTCCCTCTGCAGCTATTGAGAGCAGGGTGGAGGCGGTGGGGGGGATGGGGG